AATGGCCGCTGTTTATAGAATCACTGCTTAGCAGCTGGTCTCTTCGCTACAGTATTGTGAAATTGAGGGTCAAAAGGGCGACGCTTCACTGAATATCACTTAAGTTCTTCCCCCGATTTGAAACATAACTTTATTTGAAAACCCACAGTTCCGTGCCGTGGCAGGTGTTTGCATCTTGTATCATATGGACATGCAACTTGTCTGCTCCTCTGGGAGCGTAATATAGGTGGAAGGTGTTTGCAACAAAGCGGTGAAGTTGACAGGGTAATGCGAAAATAACACAGTAAGGAAGTCTTCTACATTCAAATGGATCTCAAGGACATCGTTTTAGAAGGTGGGATGTGGATGGAACGGACTTTGGCTTTCTTTTGGTATTGAAGTTATAGGTTGTTCTGGTTCTGCTGCCAGAGGGGTAATGGGATTGATAAGTTTCCTCATTTCCTATAGCCTGTTGTGCATTTGCATTGCTTACAAATGTCATATACGGAAGAGAAAATGGCGATAGGTTTCCAGGTGTAGTAGGCGAGATACAATGTAAGCGATAAGACACTGTTAGCATCTCGAAACATGAAGTTCTTTTAAGTAATATTTACAAATTCAGTTCCTGCCTCAAAGAAGCACGTCTGCATTTCCTTTACGACGATCTACTGCTTAGTGCACCGGCACATGAACACCGAAAGTATGTGGAAAATGTGAGACTGCTTCTGTGGTCTAGTGGTCAGTGCCTGGCTACAGATCCAGAGGTTCGGGTTCGATTCCCGGCGCTACCAGATTTTCTGAGAAGTAGTGGGTCTGGAACAAGGTCCATTCAGCCCTGTGAGGATAATGTAGGAGCTTTTTCAAAGAAATAGCGGCTCCTGTCTAGAAAACCGAAATTAACGGCCGTGGGGATCCGTTGCGCTGACCACGCGACACACTCTATCCGCAAAAGTTGGAACTAACTTCGCCGATAAGCGGCGGTCGCTCGGTCGCTATAGTTCGCTTGCGGACTACAACCACGGAGTTTGTATGCTTTATGTGGAAAATGCAAATTGACATTGCTTTGTAATCATGTGACTGTTGCGTCACTGATGACGACGCAACCCGTTTCCGATAGTAGACGAGTACTCTGGCTTTAACTACGATCTGATAAACATTATCGCTGTAAGTCTTGAATGTAAACTACAAATGCTTTGTAAGATATGAGGTTTTCACGGCGGTGACTATGAAGAAAGCAGTCTTCTGAGATGTGGCACCGTGTAGATGTGGTGCTAACCGACGTTTCGCAGGAACGTATCGCCTCCATCTCCAGGGTATTTTTCCTTCTACCCTGAAGATAGAGGCGATACGTTTCTCCGAAACGTCGGTTAACACCACATCTACACGGTGCCATATCCCAGGAGACGGATTTTTACAAATGCTTTGCCTGTTGCAGTATTTTGTTCAAGAATATATGAATCTTGTTTCCTTCGGAAATTGAAACTAAATCCATAGAAAACTGAAAGTGAAGAGGACAAGCTCAAGGGAGAGCTGAACACGCGCCCTCCATGCTGAGGGGTGAGCCATGAAACTGGCCCTCGCACTGCGACCTTAATGCTCACTTGTGCCTTACATGCTGATGTTAATTTGTTGGGTCACAACATAGACCTGAAAAGGGCACATATTCTATGAACTGCTAATACTAAATAAGGAGGAAACTACCTATATATACGAAAATGACACGAAACCAAACGTCTCGTGCTAGCCGGTTGCAATGCCACGTGATGCGTGGACGTTGCCCCGCGTTTTTTTATGTTATCCTGTGAGCGTAGCAGCTTTGCATGATCTGGTTCCCACCTAACGAACGCTAAAGCTTGTCTTAATAAGCCTTTAAAAGTAAAAAAAAAAAAATGAAGCTATCCCTGTACCAGGCCGTGAAGGCCCATAGGGTTGTGAGACGTTGAGGGTCCCACATTATCTAGACAATCGGCTCACAGATGGCGGTAAGGTTGTCAGCCTTACGCCCCGGCCGCCCGTTACTCCCAAGAACATTCCAAGAATATTCCTGGTACTCATTTCTGTTAGAGGCTGAGTCGACCCCAGGGCCATAGTGCGGCTGGAAGGATTAGGTCAATTGAAAAAATTCCAGTGACCTCATCGGGATTCTATCCCCCGACCTTCCGACTTGTAGCATAGTGTCTTAACCAACTATTCTACGGCGTGCCCCTCTTAATAAACCTTTGGGAAACCTATACAATGAAGGATACCAATGCGAAAATCCGGCTGTGTCACGAAGAAGAGAGAGCTCAACTGATCATGCAGGCCGTGCAATGGTAACATGGCTCCCCAAAGTCCCGTGGGCTCCTGTCGAACAGAAGTAACGAAAACTGTGACTAGTGGCGTTAAATGTATGCCTCGTGAATGAGGTCGAAGTGCTAGTGTATTTTATGGAGATTTTAGATTTCTGTGTGTGTGTGTATATATATATATATATACATATGCCATATGGCTGGTCCTCTGTCTGACTGCACGCCGCTAAATTTGTCGCGGCGGCACAGAAATACAGCCGCGAAGGGAGACGGAAGTGGCCCGAGCCACGCACCAGATGTCAGTCAGTTCCGGGTGTTGGCTTTCGATGACTCAGAAGATTTGTGTTCCTTAAGACCCGGATGGAGTAGTGGTCAATTTCGCTGCAGAATTTAATTACTTCTTTTTTCCTGTCAGGCCACTCAAATACTCGTATAGTGAGGTCACCATGACTTCTCGCATTCGCTCATATTCGCCTAACCTAACCGGCTTCGAGCGTGCGCATTAGGAACTAACTACGTACATTTGCACTTAGTAATAGCGTCATTAAATAGTCCCGAACCAGTTAACCGTATTTCGTTGCGAAATAGCTCCTGTGGATGGAGGATTATCAGCACATTTGACGATGCTGTATCCGTTTGTGAGGATATGGCGGCGAATGAGATGTAAGGATGGGAAGAGAAATGACTGAGGTCTCTTGCAAGGTATTCGCCCGTAATGCCTCAGGAACACGAAGGAGCTTCTCGACCGGTATCCTCCGGACTGAGATTCAAAATCCGGACCTTTCCAATACGAAGCACGCAATAAATGCCGCGTCATATGATAGTGCAGTTACAAATACACCGAGACCTCGTTTTATCGCTCTTCATACGATAAAATAAATTTTGACCATACCCCTTCAGTAGCACTAATGCAGTAGACTGTCAAAAAGTCAGAATGCGGTTGTGGTGTGGCTTATCGCAGGACGGAGTCTACAGTGTCGATCTTCAGGACGGTTCTTACCGTCTGATGTCTGTATAACTGAGTCATTTCTGAACAAAGCCAACAGTGTCTATTTTTCTCTAATTAATTGCTACTAACTTGGCCTGAAAGCTCCTTTGTTGTTGCCACTTCTACCCAGCCGCAGTAAATTCCAGTAACATGTTTTAATGTTATTGGCTGGTGCATCAGAATTAAAGAGGTAAAAGTGGATTCCGATGAAGTTGCATAGTCAACATTAGTTAGTACTGAAGTACACTAATAGGGCCGGACCGTGAGTGAAGTTGCCCCTGATGTCTGGCACCGTACAGCCAAGACGCGGAAAGACAGTCCATCACTTAGACTGAGATGAGTAAGAAATGTTGTTAGCTTCAAGCTGCAGTCGCTTTTCCGTCGGCTTATTGGACCAGAGAACCATTCTATATACAAAAAAACTCCGTGGTCTGTAGTCCGCAAGCGAACTTTACCGACCGAGCGAATGCCGCTTGTCGGCGAAGTCAGTGCCAAGTTTTGCGGATAGAGGGTGTCACGTGGTCAGTGCAACGGATCATCACTGCCGTTAATACAGCATATTATAAAACCCTTACCAGGGATCGAGCCCAGTTTATCCAGCCCACAGCCCCTTTTTACCTACCGAGTCGTGAAGTGCCCTAGCGACTTAGGAGTCATTTACTGATCGAGCCACGCAGCGCGCCAGTAGCTAGTCTCTTCGTAATTAATCCTTTAAAGACTGAATGTCTTCTAAATACATGTAATATACAAGAATTCAATTCGTACCTCACAGGAGACACATCACCGCCCACTGCAAAGGCCAGCCGGTAAATGGTGTTTAGGGAAGTGATCGCTGTTTATTGTGAGAACGGTGCGAAACGCGCAGATACATTCTGTGGGTCGAATTCAGGGTTTCAGTATGTTGAAACAAATGGTACATATAGTAACCACTGCTTTAAAGGGATAAGCCGTGCGCTGTACTCTAGCACGTCACGTCACTGGCTGGGCTATACAATATGTGAGTAACGTAGCCATTTTACTGATCGAAACACAAAATGTCGGCAGCCTAGCCACGTTACTGACCGAGACTCGAGATTTGTCGTAAGCTTCGTCACTTCTTTGGCCAAACCACTGTGTCAGCGTTGTGTCAGTGGTTACTTTGCTGACCGAACCGTACAGCGTGTCAGTAGCCTTTTTCTTTATTGCTAGTGGGGTGGGACTAGGTCCCTTGTACTGCGGCCACTTCTGGCCTATTGTACCAGCCCCAGATGATAGGTGAGGGTGATTGTGGAGCAGTTGGTGCAATGAAGATTGGCAGGGGAAACCGAAATACTCGGAGAAAACCTGCCCCAGCGCCACTTTGTCCACCACAAATCCCATTTGACCAGACCCGGGATCGAATCCGGACCGCCGCGGTGGGAACCCAGCGAGTAACCGCTTGAGCTATGGCGCGGTGTATGTCAGTAGCTTAGTCACTGCATTCACTGGGCCATGTACTGTGTCGGTAGTTTAGTCACTTTTTAAAGCGGCACAGCGATCCAGTAGTTAGTCACTGTACTCAGTTATGTCAGTAGCTCTGTCACCTCATGGACCGAAACGTGATTCATGCTAGCAGCTCTGTCACTTTACTGGGCCATAGTCAATCCTTCAACGTGGTTTTAGCCACATTTAGACTGACCGAATAACTTTTCCAGAGGATGTTTATTGTAAGGCACCGGTAGCGTGAAGCTTGTCAATACACTCAGAGTGGTCTACTGCTGTTACAGACGGCTGCGACTAGACCCCGACCTGGATTTGGGCGCTGAGGTAGCGGCTCTGCTGGACAGTTCCGCCGCGCGCCACAAGTTGGCCATCCGGCCACGCAGAAAGCACGCAGACTCTAGGCAGGTGCAGCAGGAAGCAACCCGGTGAGTGTACACAGAACCTTCTATATAGGGGCGTCAAGCTGACCACTCACCTCTTCCATCCAGTGTCGAGGTCAAGTAAAGTGGAGCTTATACCTCTATTCCCCCATATGTCTTCATGGCACAGTACTGAACTAACTAAGCACAGGGACAACTTTACCTTCTTACCTTTATTAATCGGGGGCACTTGGTTCAGGCACTTTGATAGAAGCCGGAACGTCGCGGTTTCGATTCCCGATGAGGGTATTGGATTCTTCAATTGATCCAATCTTTCTAGCCGTACCATGGTCTTGGGTTCAACTCAGCCTGTAACAGAAATGAGTACCAGGAATCTTCCTGGGTTAAGGCTGACCTCACCGCCTTCTGTGAGGCGATTGTCTAGGAAATGTGGGAGCCTCGACGTCTCACAACCCTATGGGCCTTCACGGCCCGTTACGGGGATGGCTTAACCTTTACCATTTTAACTTCACTAATAGCCTACTTTCCTTTGCTACGATACGGACCACATAAAAAAACAAAAAATGAAGGGGTTACAAAAACAACAAAGCGATCTCAAGCCTAAAAAAGTAAGGGGGCAGTAAACAGAGAGCAAAGTGATATCGGTCAAGTCTAATTTTATTTTTTTTAAATAAGGAAAGTAGGCTAAAAATAAGTCACATCCCTCCAAATTCATTCGGAATCGTCGTGCCCTAAGCTACATAACCTTATTAGTTGATATAGCATCTCATAGTAACATTTCTTTACCGATTCTGAAGTCGTAGACACCTCGAACACAGGGATTGCTGGTTTGAATCCCTCTTAGGGCGTTAGTATAAGTCTCCTTTTTGTGTGTCGTCAAGGCTGGGGCTCATCTACCATCCAGCGGAAGCCCCAAATTTCTAAGGTATTCGATAAAAGAGAAACGCCACCACAGCTCCATGAGAAGGGTAGAAGCATAGCGACAAGAGAGGGAACGCCAGAAACTCTGGGAAGGCGGGCCGGTATCCATTTGTGCTGTAGCGTGTGTGGTTCTTCGCTTTCCTTGTGGTGTTGCAGTAGTATGGACGCTTTCCTGTCTAACTATCAAAGAGCAGGAGGAACTCGCCATTTGTTTATCTATCTCTGTGCATTTTCTGCTACTTTGAGTGCTGATTATTTGATAGTTGTCAATCAGAATTTCAAAGTTTCGCAACATGTCCACGTTTGTAATATTCACAAAAATGGCTGTCATAGAAAATCAAATGTATGCAACTCGTCGCGTCTTCGTACACATTTTTGCGTAATAGTTGAAACCGAAAGCGAAATGCAGATTTCTCATGGCTTCCACATTATTTATAATTCACGGCATACAAGTAATTTAAAGAAAATGTGTGCTCTTCCCGTCACCATGTAGACTTACTGGGCCTTGTGTGAACAGCCTTGCATTCAATACAAAGACGGGAATACCTCGTAATGGCATACTTTTCATGCCAGGCTCAATGAAAAATATCCTTTGTTTCAAAATGTTATTGACACACGTTGGCTTTATAAATTGTACTAGGAGTCTATTTTTGCTGGAAAAATATAAACGAGTACTTAGAATAAGATGTAGTGCAGCAGCTGTTGCGCACCGCTTATTTCCGCTCCTTATTCGCCGTCTCACATGAAAACTTCTGTTACTTACTTACTCATGGAGCTGAGCCCTTCTGGAGGAGCCGCCAATTCTGCAGCTACTCAAGAATTTCCCAGCATTTTATGGAACCCGAAGGTTCATTACCGTGTTCACAAGAGGCCTCCACTGGTCCATATCCTGAGCCAGATCAATCCAATCCATACCATCCTATCCTATCTCTAAGATCCATTTTAATATTTTCCACCCACCTACGCCTTGGTCTTCCTAGTGGTCTCTCTCCTTCTGGTTTTCCCACCAATATGTTAAAATCTTAAAATTCACGGGGTTTTTTATTTTGAAATCATTTTTCGCGTCGGTACACTAGACGTTTCGACCGACATGGTCATCATTAGGTGCTTCGAAAATCGCAGCTGAAAACTGCTGCGCTCCGTCAATGAATACGATCCCAGCGTACCCTCGTTTATGTGCCCATGCGTTGCTGTACATTTGTAGTGCTGGGTGATTCCCCTTACGTGCCGTGTGCAGCTGCGCACGGCGGAATTGCAGCAGTTTTCAGCTGCTATCCTCGAAGCACGTGATTACGACCACTTCGGTTGAAACATCTGCACCAGTGATGTGGAAAGTAATTTTCGAATTGAAAAAGAAACATGAACACAAGTTTTCATGTGAGACGGTGAATAAGGAGCAAGAAAAAGTGAACATAGGCAAGAACTGACGTCAGCTGGGACCTATTCTCTTCTGCGTCGTTATGTTGACAGCTAATTCTGGTGTATGAACACGTTGTTAGGAACTGGACAGCTGGCACACTGTCAGTTATCCTAAAGCTTCATTAAGAAAGAGACTGCTTTCATGCCAACGCGATTGATATCTTGCTGCCAGTCTTACACTATCTGGAAGCGAACCCCGACCTGCATCAGTCACTGTCAGACCAAACAAACTCTAAGGGATGTACTTCCTTGTCAGTCAGTTACTAAAACGGCTACCTTTCCTGTGTCAGTAATCATTGTTTCTTGACGTATGCGGTAATAATGATTAATTGCTGATTATGAATAGTAATTAGTGAATGTGCATAATAGCCGGTCATCAATCTTAATAACAGGCTTATTCACTTCTGCCCTAACATACAAAGTACCGAATAATATGAACACGATTGGTTAGGTGTATTACATTTTTTTATTGTTACTGGGGTAGGACTAAGTCCCTTGTACTGCGGCCACTTCTGGCCTATTGTACCAGACCCAGATAAAAGGTGAGGGTGACTGTGGAGCAACTGGTGGAATGAAGATTGGCAGGGGAAACCGAAGTACTCGGAGAAAATCTGCCCCAGCGCCATTTTGTCCACCACAAATCTCACTTGAACAGACCCGGGATCGAACCCGGGCGGCCGCGGTGGGAAGCCAGCGACTAACCGCTTGAGCTATGGCGCGGCCTAGGTGTATTACTTAGTCCCGAAGCATGAAACATTGCGCATGTTAATGTTACTTGTATGAGTAGTAAACTCTTATTATAAAATGTCATAAAATTAACAGTTGGAAATAGTTCGAAGTGTCGCCACGTGTACCATAACAGAAGTCTCATTCTGTTCAGCAGTTCATTTGCCGTTCTGAACGTCAGCACGTTACACTGAATGCTACCAGTGCTGGTCCCACCGCCGCCATGTTAGTGTTTCTGATGCCGTGGCAGCTAATGATGCAATGTTCGTGCAAAGAGCCACAACAGGGGCTAGTACAGTTCAGTTGGCGGCAGCTCTCTCATGGTTTTCTAAAGAAACATGAAAGTGTCTTCTGTACTGTCGTTACTCCTTGGTCAAAACGTAGCATTTCTGTTTACGCTGTAAGTAATCTTAGTCCCATGGAGAATTCCGTGCTTCTTGCGTGCAGTCCTGAAGCTGGTAATTGGAACTTGCAGGATTCTAATTTTAGCAGAAGTTATGGAATGAGGAGTTATGAAAAGAAGGTAGCGTGGGCTGGCAGCAGATTCCACAGATGCGATTAATACCGTACAAGATGTGGCGCCCTGTATTTCTTGTGTTCCTTGCTCGCGGATCTTTGTACCCTGAAGATGGAGGCGAAGTGTCGGTTCACACAAGATTGGAAATTCCGGAGGGAAGAGGAAATTGTATTTGGAGCTCTCGTTACTCATACGAGCACTGGGCAGTCGGGGAGGTGTCAGTGCTTTGAATATTCTCAACACACGCCGCGTGATTCAATGTAGAGAACTTCTTTTTTGGAACGTGTCTGTGACATTGACAGTTTTCTTATCGGTGCTAACGCACGTACAGAATTTTTCCTCTTGAAATTTCTTCCCTCGCAAGTTTATTTTGGTTCCTTGTGTCGCCACACATTCCTCACTGGCGTTTCCTCACCTACGAAATGAAAGCAGATTCTTCGCGAATCTAGTTCAAGTCTTGTTCCCTGTTTCCGCTGCTTTCAAACTACGCCTTGTAATGAGGGGGCATGAGAATAGCTCAGCCGATGTATTGACCTTCGCTGTGAGAAGACCAGGAGTTCCTTGTAATTTTGTAAGCCCCAGGGTTCAGTGGTCCAGGAGAAATCAGACTTGTCTCACTGCCAGGTCCTGGTTCCCGTCTGTGTGCAGGTTGTTTGTTTGTTAATTATTTTTCAGTGTCTCGTTTAGGAATTCACATAACTATATACGCGCTTTAAACATAGCAAGAACTAGATTACATTTCACAGATCCGTGAAATAATTATGCCATTATTATAAATGTTTTCCCCTTCACAAAGAGACTTTCATTTTCAGTTGCTCTTTGCGAGAAAATAACTTTCTTCCTGTCGTTCTAGAGTTTTCAGGGGAAGGCATAATCCCTCCACCATATAGCCATGTATTTACTGTGTCTATTTTTTTTAATTTGCTTAGTAGGGGGTGGAGTCCAACTGGGTACACTCGGCACGGCGGCCACTGATTGGCCTATTGTAGCCTGCCCCGGGTGATTATGATGATGGAGAATTTGGTGGAATGAAGATTGACAGGGGAAACTGAAGTACTCGGAGAAAACCCGCCCCAGCGCCACTTTGTCAACCACAAATTCCACTTGACTGAACCCGGGCCGCCCCGGTGGGAAGCCACCGACTAACCGCTTGAGCTATGGTGCGGCCCTTACTGTGTCTAAATGCTGCTTATGAACAGTGGGGCCAGAAGAGCCAGCGAGAACTCTGTGTGAATGTTAAAACGAAGGACGGCTCTGCACAATATGTCTCTAGTTCAGATTTGTATATATTTCCTTATTCACGCTTTGGAGTTTTGCGTACGTCGTTGCTCTTGATGTGTATGTATTGCAGTCACAATGTGTTGCTGCAAAGCAAACCTCAGTGGAAGTACCGCACTGCATAGTGGTAAATTGTGTTCCTTGTAGTTGCGGACTAAAACCACGGAGTTTGTTTTGGGGCACTGTTACGTACTAGCGGACGGACGGACGGACAGACAGACAGACAGACAGACAGATGGGCATATGCATTTTTTACGACTGTAACAGATGCTGTATGGGTAGCAAAGTCTTACATTTTCATTATTGCCTTGGGTATAGGAAAGTCGAGAAGCGTTTCGGAATTGAATTGAGAAGTGAAGAGATGACTTGGGAGAATGAGGCATGCGCATTAAAAAGATTCTCAATCCGATCGGGTTTGAATCTCAGAACAGGTTCAAATTGCCTGATACTTCATTTGAAGTAAAGGTGAAGTTGTCCCATGAAGACGTATGGGGGAGTGGATGTATAGGTCCACAGTATCTTGGCCTCGGCACTAGCTGGAAGTGAGTGGTCAGCTTCACGCCCTTGCTGCTTTAACCCCGCGGAACGAGCCCCCCGTACCCATTGGATAGGAGGTTGGGTGGGCCCCAGAGCAGGTCTGGACGACGTGGAGAAGAGAAAATTCTTTACTCTACCGGGACTCGAAGTCGGAAACCCTCGGTCGTCCAGCCCGTAGCCAGTCGCAATCCCGGCTCCTGACTTCATTTGACGTAAGACTAAAGAGGACTCTTAAATAAATTATGAAGATATGGATTGACTTTGAACAGGAGCCAAAGGACACGACGTTGAACGGGCAAAATGCTGACCAGCTGAAGAATTATCAGCCGTTGAGAGGACATTGTTAATAGACGTATAGAGGCGATACCCACAACGAAACGTATATATTTAATTCATCCTGATGGCTCGCCTTCGATTCTGGCAGTGCGGATTCAATTAACGTCAGCATAAATCACGCAGAACCATCGAGTCTCCGGCTCAATCGAAGTGTCCTTACTTTACTGCAGTAGTTGTGTAATAATCCAGACAAAAGTTTGGCACAGGAAAGGAACTTCGATGAAGTGACAAGTGTCTTACTAGGCTGAAATACGGCTTCCCTCTTGGCTTCTCTGCTGAGGACTTCGCAAGGTTGATGGGCTTCAAATAGTCTGAATTATAAAGCAGTGTTGCCAGGTGTTTCTCTTAATTTTCCAGGTAAGCATAATTGCGTCGTATTTGCGTGGCAACAAATTCACTTGAAATAAAATGGTATTAATTTAAAAAAAATGCATTTTTTAAAACCAAGATAAAAATTAAATACGAATTGTGTCATTTTACACAACGGCCCACAAGGTGAAATGAAGGGAAGATAGGCTGGATATATAGATCGCATGGAAACTCATGACATGCGGATTTGTGAAGGGAAACCGTTTATAATTCGTAACAGCAAAAGGGAATTTTGAGCACAGCTCACGAATTATACGCTCTCATTCCAAGGATTTCTAGTCCGAGAGATCTACGTATTATTTTACTGGTGTATTTTGCTTGTTACTTTATTTTAGTTGTCTAAAGAACTAAAAAAATCAATTTATGTACATTAAATTTGTCGGATAAAACCTTTAGAGTTTCGCACCGTTGCCATGACTCTAATTGATGATTTTGAAACAATGGTTCACGCGTAATATATAGATATATTTGCGATCTATCTCATTAACAAATTTAAAATTCCTAGCTCGAATGGTTTACTAATTATCACCATCAAACTGAAACAAGGGAAATTTTCTCACGTTTGCCATACTGCTATAGATGCAACAAAAATACTTATTAATGGAGCTGGGCCCTTCTTGAGGAGCCGCCAATTCTGCAGCTACTCCAGAATTGTCCAGCATTTTATGGAACCCGAAGGTTCATTACCTTGTTCACAAGAGCCCTCCACTGGTCCCTATCCTGAGCCAGATCAATCCAATCCATACCATCCCATCCTATATCTCTAAGATCCATTTTAATATTGTCCACCAACCTACGCCTTGGTCTTCCCAGTGGTCTCTTTCCTTCTGGCTTTCTCACCAATATCCTATATGCATTTCTGTTCTCCCCCATTCGTGCTACATGACCTGCCAACCTCATCTTCCTTGACTTGATCATTCTATTTATACTTTGAGAAGAGTACAAGTTATGAAGCTCCTCATTATGCAGTTTTTTCCACCCTCCTGTCACTTCATCCCTCTTCGGTCCATACATTCTCTTCAACACCCTATTCTCAAACACCCTCAGGCTATGTTCCTCCTTTAATACTAGAGACCAAATTTCACACCCATACAGAACCACAGGCAAAATAATGAACTTCCGTGGTTTATAAAATTAAGGGATGTGTAAACCAAAGGGGGAACTGTAAGACCCTGAATCTTTTAGGCAGGCAGTTGAGAAGGTATTTTGAGGTGTGTAATTCGTGTGGGGAACCAGATCAGCGAAAGGCTGTGCGTGTGCGTTCCAAGAACTCATAGCATGAATTCATGACATCTTGAGGGGGCGTGTCGAAAGCCGCGTTCTATTTTTAAAACTCGACTCAATGAAGCGACGTGGTTGTTACGACATTGTTTAGACATTCCTCGCGAGTTTGCCTCGGATGAAGAATGTGAAGTCTGTCTGTCTTGCCTTTCACCTCTGGAAATTTGTCGGATTTTATGAAATTTCTTTCTTAAATGTTACTCTAATGAAAAATTAGGATATTAATATTTTTGGCACGAAAGAATTTTGAGACAGGTATATATAACCTTAAATATATGCCGAATTGAGAGTACAAGCCTAGGTAATGAGAGAGACAGGCTGAAACAAGATGGAAACCTCAGTCAGCCCGTCTTCGGGCGGAACTTGTATTCATTACCTGCAAAATACGAACTGGCCTCTAAATTAACTCGAGTGTGTTACCCGATTGTTCTGGTGGGCGCAAGGTTGCTACTATTTATATCGCACGTCGATGCACTTGTGTCTCAGCTCGTGGCACTGCCCTCGTGGTGGAATAATGCTGTACTCATGGAGTACTTTGCCTTTAATACAATATCCATATGACGTTTATCAAACACAGATACGTGAATAGAATATCGTTGCAGTCTCCTAGCTCCCTGCACCTGTTTCAAGACATTTACAGAATATCTGATGATAAATTCATCATTCTGGCCAATATTAATCGCGTTTCGAAACGTCACTAGGAAGCCGTTTATTTCATCTTGCCCGTGTGTCCGCCCGCATGTAACAACTCAAAAATTAAGAAGAAAGCAGTCTTTTGGGATTTGGCACCGTGTATAAGTGGTGTTAACCGACGTTTTGGAGGAACGTCGGTTAACACCACCTATACACGGTGCCAAATCCCAAAAGACTGCTTTCTTCTTAATTTATAAGTTGTTACATGCGGNCTTATAAATTAGCCGACCTGTATAGATCGAATTTGACATGGCTGAGCTACGCTGAATTTTATCAAGTCATTTTGATGGTATACATTCTGAGTTTTCTGAACAGATTCTGATGAGACCCTGCAGTGTATATAGCACGTTTATCAGTAACATTTCTTTTAATTTAGAAGTTTAATTTACTTCAGTCCCTTTTTAAGACACCCGTCACGCATCAGGACGCAGAGCCGTATCTCGCGAAGCATTGAAATGGCAGAGATATGCATTGTGGAGAAGCTATACCTACCTGCAATGTTTACATGAAACTTAGCGATTTCGAGGACGCCGCTGATATAGTGAAATAACCGAGGAAATATGTGACGTCAGTAGCCTTGTCCAGACTTCTGCTGTTGCTCTGACCTGCTTTCATGTCCGGTTTATTCTACGCCCCTGAACATGGAGGCGATATGTTCTCCGAAACTTCGGCTGACTTTCAACAGACTGCATGACGTTATATCCCAGAAGATACTTCGTACCAACCGCTGTGAGAACCCCAAATCTTACGTGTCACTGGTTATATTCCTTAATGAATTTCTTCAGCATTTGCATGCACCTCGAGAATTACCGGGTCGAAACAAGTCATCACTCCATGTAATTATTGTAATGTAATCGTCATTAATAGCATCGCCATGATCATCTGAGTTCCACCCGGATACCGGATGTCCTGGCTGAGTTTTCTCGTGGTTTTTATCAGTCCCTCCAGGTAAATACCGGGATAGTACCCCCGGCTTCGATCCCGGGCCTGGTTAAGTGGCATTTGTGGTGGACAAAGTGGCGCTGGGGCAGGTTTTCTCCGAGTACTTCGGTTTCCCCTGCCAATCTTCATTCCACCAATTGTTCCACAATCACCCTCACCCATCATCTGAGGCTGGTACAATAGGCCAGAAGTGGCCGCAGTACAAGGGACTTAGTCCCACCCCACTAGCAATAAAAGAAAATAAAAAACCTCTGTCAAGAGGAATGAACCCGACGATCTATCGACGTAGTAGCTTAGGGCTTCGACCGCCCTAGCACTGAAATCGTGCTTCGAATCCCACTCGGGACATGGATATGTCTGCATTTTTTCTCTTTATGTTGTCCTGTGCAAGTAGACCCCTATCGATGGACCCATCTCCTGTCCAAAGAGTCCTACAAAATGTTTAAAGAGTCCCACTTTCAGATATTCCGATCCGGATGTGGTCAGAAGTCCGAATCCGCACAGCTGAAGAACAGCGCGATATGACGTAATAAAGCGATAGCTCACTCCGTATAGCAGAATCCCTGTTGGAAAGCCAGTAGTAGCTCAGCTGCTCAAGAACCCAAACGTTCATTACTATGGTCACAAGAGATTGCAGCAACAACAACAACAACAACAACAATAATAATACAGATATAGTTTAAATAATACCATTACGCTAATACATCGGTATTTTGATTGGATGAATATCTGTTCGCCACTTAAGGAAGACTTATTTTTTGCCCATCACACAATTCTCAGGTGGCTGGTGAGGATGTACGATGACCCGTCCCGGCAAGGCTGGGTTCCTGCGAGCCTACTGGAGCGGTCAAGGGAAGAAGAAGTGACAGAACCAGCAGATCCAATTGGCCCAGAAGTCCATGGCCAGAGGAGAGAGTGAGTACCATTTCATGGGAGTCGCGTGGAAGAGCGCGTTGAGGCTCCGTTACTGTGCTATAACGATACAGTTGCTGTCAGACGTTTCCGCCACCGCCTCAGTATGCAGTATTGTACAATCTGATGGCTTCCATCCTTTTATTATTGATCTGTTGTCCCAATTAAATGTTCCACAAACAAAATATTTCTTGAAGAATGCCGTCTTCTGGGATGTGGCGTCGTGTAGATTTGTGCGAGCCGACGTTTCGGAGGAACGTATCGCCTCCATCTTCATGGTCTTCAGCCACCTGCTCACTCTGGTTTCTCGCTCGCGGATTTATCAGCCCTGAATATGGAGGCGATACGTTCCTCCGAAACGTCGGTTCACACAAGATCTTCACGGCGCCACATCCCAGAAGAGGCATTCTTCGTAGTCGCCGCCGTGGAAACCTCAAATCTTACAAAATATTTCTTGAAGAGTTCTGTTTTCTGGGATATAATGGCGTGTACTCCACTGGAAGTCAACTGACAGTTTGGAAGAACTCGACTCCATCTCAAGGTTCAAAGAATACGGAAAGCAAGAAATCAGGACGAAGAAGGTAGCAAGCACAGCCACCTGCTTCATTCTGGTTTCTTGCGTGGCTTATTCTTCGACCCTGAAGATGGAGGTGGTAATTTCTTACGAAACGTCTGTCGACTTTCAGCGGACTACACGGCGTTACACACAGAAGATAGAACTCTTCATATTCGTCGCTGTAAGAACCTCAGTATCTAACAAATATTTTTTTCTGACATTTGCCTTTCATAAATGTCAAATAGGGGAAATCTTTTTAAATTATAAACCTGTGTCACTGAATTGGATCAGCAGCTAATTTAGGCTTATATGTAAGACTATAGTGCTCTTGTTCATGCCAGAGTGCTCAATTTGAGAGAGCTGAAGGACTATTGAATGAATTAGATCTTCAGACACCAGATCCATCAGCCTACTGACAGAAACAAGGGGCAGTGATCAGATAATCGATCAATCAGACACAATCAAATATTATTTACATAACTAACTAACAAATCAATCTTTCTTGATATACTCATAGCGTGAATAACTTCTAAACAATAAATCATACATATTTGTTTCTGACCGCTCTATCGCTATTTCCATGCATAGATTTCCAAGTTGTGTAATCTATAGCTAATTCAGTTGAATTCCCAGAATTGTTGTCTGGGTGGGGGAAATATGAAGTTACAATTGATTTGTGTCAGAATGTGCTGGGTTGGCACCAGACAAAATGCTGTTCCAGGTGACAAAAAATTCCATTGGCCTCTTTTTCAGACAATTAAATTAGCTTTCTTAAAAGTTTTTCTTAACTAATAACCCAGTCCCCATAGACTGTGACAGAAACTGCTGTTGATGTCATAATTATTGAAAAAGTCTCACTTACAGTGTTCATAGTATGCATAGATGACTACCATTTAATGGTTAGGATACGAACAAGAGAGGATCAGAATTTATTTTCATTTAACAAAAATCCAGAAAAGGGGGCTGTAAAATGTGCCACCCAAGGTTGTTGCATAATTTCCTAGTTCTGTTGTGCTTTTCCTGAGTAAGTGTTTTTTCCACTAATTGTCTTACACACATTTCAGAAATTTGATTGAAATTTATAATCCACTTTGAAAGGAAATGTAATATTTGAAAATATTTTAGATGGGTATGCCTTAGAAGCAGGAGAATTTTTACTTACTTTATCTTTGGGAGGGGCTGATGTTAGGGCTATAGGAAAGCTTTCTAGCTTTCTTCCGAGGCTCTAACTATTGTGCTGGCCATGCAATCATCTGATAGTCCTATGTTGCCTTGTATCAGAGCTGTGGTGCGGGAGCTGGTAGAGACAGAGGAAGAATTTGGACGTGACCTACAGTTGGTCGTGGAGCGCTACCTGAAGCCTCTAGACAGCAGTACTGTGCCACGTGTCGTGCGGGACAATAAAGATCTCATATTCAGCAACTTGAAGCAAATCGCCGACTTCCACAACACGTGAGTGTGAGCTCCGCCCCCTGTTAGCTGGAGTACAAGAGGTGATGAGGGGGCAAAGGTCCCAGCACATTTTGGCCATTAACAAATTTCTAAACACATATTTACAATTCAGCATTATGAAGTTTATATATAGTCTGTTGTAGTTAAATATTACTTTTCTCTTTGTTTGTGCTGTAATCTGTGTTACTGTCCAGTTTCCTGGAGATGTGCATAAGTTACTGGGAGAAGGTGGTTTGAAAACACTGGCAAAACTAATGAACACCATATATGAAACTGGGGAGTGGCCCAGGGACTTTACAGAAGTGACAATGATTGCCTTAAAGAAAAAGATAATAGCAAAGATACTTAAAAGAAGAATTGAAAGGAAAATAGAGGATGCACTTGGAGAGGATCAGTTTGGATTTAGAAGAGGAAAAGGAACCAGGGATGCAATTGGGATGATGAGAATTATAGCAGAAAGAACTTTGGAGATAGATGAAGAACTGTGTGCTTGCTTTATAGACTGGCAGACGGCATTTTTCCGTGTAAATTGGACCAAATTAATGCAGATCCTAAAGGAAACAGGTATCGATTGGCGTGAAAGAAGATTGATTAGTAAATTGTACATGGATCAGAAAGTTAGAGTACGACTGGACAGAGGGGAGACAAGAAGTGTGAAGATTGGAAGAGGAGTCCGACAAGGATGCTGTTTATCACCAATTCTGTTCAACTTGTACAGCGAATGTCTTACCAAGGAAGCTCTGGATGGGCTCGGTGACTTCAAAGTAGGAGGGCAAATTATTCAAACTGTGAAATATGCAGATGACCTT